TGTAAAGCCTATATCCATTATCAAAAATCTGATGCTGAGAATTTGAATTATTTTAATATAAAATTTTAAAAATTTTTTGAGCTATTCTTTTTAGTTTTTTTTTTAAAGTTAGGTTGGAATTTAGGTTAGAGTTTATAATAAAAGAGTATAGGGTTTTTATCTTTAAATTGAGACCCAAATTCTCAGCATCATCCGATTCCAAGCTTCGTCCCCGACATTGGATATTGTTATAAAGAAGAAAAGAAGGTATTCAAGTATTATAAAAAAATCTTGGATGATGCTAATGGAACATTTAGTAGAATGTTGTTATGCCAAAGGAATTGGAATGGAAAGAAGACATGAAAGAAGACATTCGAATATTATTAAAATCTGCAGAGATAGGTTTGATAGAAGGAACATATAGTGTTGATGTTACTATAGAAAAGGATCGGAGCCGAAAAAGACGAAAAAGAAAGTATTCGTAAAAAATCTGCAGAGATAGGTAATGTTATCGAAATGGTATCGGACACTAATACAAACTGAATTGATTAGTAACGATCGTATATTTAATTGGTCATTAGCATCGGGCATATTGGAAAATTTGAAAATGTCCGATGTCCGGTAAAAAAAAAAAACCAGATATGAGTGTCGCTAAAAGAAACCCCGAAAATTTAAATATAAGTCATTTAAATTTTCGGGTTTTCTTTTAGCGACACTCATATATAGTTTGCCCAACTAATTATTTAACCTAGACTCATGGTCTCTTAAAAACAATTAAGAAAGCTTTCCCTTTAAAAAATAAAGTCGAAAAAAATTTTTTAAAATTCTCCGGAAAATTATAAGGTTGGAACTACGTTCTCGATTGGTAACGCTAGGACTTTTTTGGGTGAGCTTGATATGTTCTTCCGAATCATCATTCTGAATAGAGATTGGAATCGATGAGTTTCGAGTATTGATTTGTCAAAAATTTTAGATTTTCGAGCACCGGTAAAAAATTTTGACTGTGTTCGAGTTTTTAAAGAATACATAATTTAAATTTATTGTATTGTACTATTATCGCTACATTACTTAAATATAAGCTTACAATTTATATGGCTTAAGTTATTCGCTAATTTATAAAAACAACCATACATTAATCCTAAAGATTAAGAATAATAAAATTGATTGTTTTTATATTACATTTTAGAAATATTCTGCCAAATAACTTGGCTTTAATAATGTTCTCTTCGCACTCATATCATTTCTTGCATCCGAAAACAAGCGTTCACTTGGTGAGCTTGTTGCAGAAATTTAAAGTAATATGAATAACAGATAAGTCACTTCGCAGTTTTCCACATGGTAATTACAAATCCAGAATCAAAATGTTGCCAAACCCAGGATTGTTTTTTAGACCCACCACGTATTTCTAATTTTTGTTTTTAGAACTATCTGCAACAACCATCTCTATATTGGATTTTGGTTCTTCACAAACAGAAATGTTAATGTAATTAGATTCGACCTCTTCATTATTAAAAGAGAACTTTTGGGAACATCAACAGAAGATGTAATATCTTTATTTAAATCAATCAATCAAAAAATTTATCACTATCAAAAACAGTTAAATTTTAATTTTGACTGATGCTTGAACGAATTAAAAACTCAATGAATGAATGAAGTTTATTTCGATAATTATTCACCGATTCCACTCTCTAATTATTCTGAGTGAGTTTGCTATGCTCTTTTGAATCTTCGGAATCATTCTGAGTGAGCTTGATATGCTCTTTTGAATCTTCGGAATCATTCTGAGTGAGCTTGCTATGCTCTTCGGAATCATTCTGAGTATAAAATCCCTTAAATCTTTCTATATACATTCGATATGTTCCTCTTTCGATGCGCTCATTACGCACTTATTGGATTGTATATATTTTTAATATGTACATGATATATATTTGACCAGATAAAACACTAAGAAATAATATTTTAAAAATAACCTGGTGATTCGGTTGATTTTTGGACCTTTATATCGAAATCCAGAGGCTCTGGTAAGGTATGAATTTCATCCGTTAACAATTGTTCTGAAATTTTTTTCGTCTTTATAGCTAACCCATCCGAAACGAAACATCCTCTTGCTTTATCTGACAAACTCTTATAATTATAAATTTATTTCTGTCTGTTATTTTTTTATGTGTTACGAAATATTTACATTTACTTAAATTAAAACTTAGTCGATAACTTTCTACGTACCAATTATGATCATAAATTATCAGATAATATCATTAT